GAGACCACTTAGTAACAAAAAAAAGAGTGTGGTTGATTATGCTGTCGATCGTTTCACTTATGCTACTGGTCGCCGCTTCCGCTGTTTCCCCCTGTTCAATCGCGACATTCAAAGTATTTTCAAAATTCAGAGCATTTAAGGAAAGGTCCTATCACGAAATATTATAGCTCTAAATTTTACAAGTATTCAGAGAGGAAAAGAATAGAGTCCGGGAGTTACGCCGGTGCGACGAGGGGTCTACATGTTTCAGTGCTTAGTAATATATATTAGCCGAGATACAATTTACTATGTTCACGCCTAGGCTCGCTATGTTCTACTTGTACTCAGCCACGAATCTCAGGCTTATCGTCACGCGTGTGGCGCTGAAGCATGTTTCTGGAACATTCCATATGTAGGTGCGCGGCAGCACGCTGGTGCCTGGGCCTAGGAGATCGCTCTCGTCTCCTTCCATATTACTGTATCATTGCGACGCCAATATGGACAGAGCCAGTCAGTTATTAAGCCGAGCTTCAAGTCCTCACGAATACACAAGAGATCGTCAAGCGCCTTGGTGTCTGCGCCGGACGCTCACTTATGTAATCACTGGCAAAAGCAACGGAGCTGTTGCCTGATTAAATTACTGCCTAAGATTCAAGGCTAGAAGTTTGAACTCTAAAGTTTAAAGGTAAATGCACGATTTTAGGTTTCTATCATCCACTCTCCAATTACTTCAGCTTTCTTTTCATCTGTAAGAATAAATCAATCGAAAGCGGTTTCGATTATTATATTCCTATGCCTTCCAGAATTCGAGATTACGCGGCTGGCCGGTCTTGCGCGCTTCTAGTCATGTACGATGATACTGTTGCCGCGAGGCTGCCGCCCAGTTGAGTGCGTCAGCCTCAACGCGACATCTTCTCCAACCTTCTCCTCACTTCATATCCATACTATTTCGACGGCTCATTGGCCACAAAGAACCTTTCCTTTTGCGATCTTTGAATCTAGTCGAATAATGCGTCTACTACAGTTCAACAACGATGGCGATTTCAGCCTGACCGAGTTCTTTGAAGGCGATATCCCTGAGTATGCCATACTTTCACACAGATGGGAAGCGGGGGAGGTCACTTTTAAAGATCTGACAGACGGCACGAGTAAAGGCAAGGCTGGCTACAGCAAGATACAGTTCTGCGGAGAGCAGGCGAGTTATGATGGATTAGAATACTTCTGGGTAGACACATGCTGCATCGATAAAGCAAGTAGCGCCGAGCTCTCTGAAGCTATCAACTCGATGTTTCGCTGGTACCAGAAAGCGACTAGATGCTATGTCTATTTGTCTGATGTTTCGATACGAAAGCGGAAAGTAAGCGATACGTCTACCGAATATACTTGGGAATCTGCTTTGCGAGCAAGTAAATGGTTTACACGAGGCTGGACCTTACAAGAACTCCTTGCTCCAAGATCAGTCGAATTCTTCTCCCGGGAACACAATCGACTAGGTGATAAGGGAACTCTAGAACGACAAATCCACGAGATTACAGGAATCCCTACCACCGCGCTTCAAGAAACCCCTCTCTCCCAATTCGACGTCGATGAACGATTCTCGTGGGTAAAATGTCGGCAAACTACACGCGGGGAAGATAAGGCATATTCTCTTTTTGGCATTTTCGATATCCAGATGCCACTTCTTTATGGCGAAGGAGAAGTAAAGGCGTTTCAGCGACTCCGAGAAGCAATCGACAAACCATTGAAGGGTAAGTCTCATCCCTACGATTAATGCCTAACACATTTGATAAGTCTAGCGCTAACTAGCAGTTTAGGCTCTAAGAAAGACCTACTTCGTCAGCTACCGTATGCTGATGAGGCGCCGTTCAACACATACCACCGCCAACACGAACCTGCCTGCCTCCATAATACACGCGTCTCCGTCCTACAAGAGATATACGACTGGGCCGATGGAAAGGATAGACAAGATGAGCGATGCATCTTCTGGCTAAACGGCCTCGCTGGGACGGGAAAGTCAACAATCTCCCGCACTATCGCCCGCAGATACAGTGAGCAGAAGCGTCTTGGAGCTAGCTTCTTCTTCTCAAGGGGCGGCGGAGATGTGAGCCACGCTGGCATGTTCTTCACAAGTCTTGCCGTCCAGCTCAGTATCAATGTGCCACCTCTTCAACAGTACATTTCTGAGGCTGTTACAAATCGGCGTGATATTGCGAGCCTATCCCTCTCGGAGCAATGGCGTCAGCTTATTCTCAATCCACTACTTGAGCTACAGAGCGGATCACCTCTTTCATACATCCTTGTTATCGATGCACTTGATGAGTGTGAGCATGATAGAGATATCAAGACTATCCTACAGCTCCTAGCTGAAGCTCGGTCGTTGATGACAGTACAACTTCAAGTCTTTCTTACCAGCAGGCCTGAAGTCCCTATTCGACACGGAATACGCGATAACCCACAAGCCGAACACCAGGAATTTGTGCTCCACAACATACAGCCATCGATTGTCAATCATGATATCTCTCTATTCCTAGAACACAATCTAGGGAAAATCAGGCAAGACTGGGATCTTAGAGCTAACTGGCCCGGCGGAGAAGTTCTAAGACAGCTGGTTCTCTACGCTTGTGGCCTCTTCATTTGGGCGGCAACAGCATGTCGGTTTGTTGAAGAAGGCGGAGAGTTTGCTGAAGATAGGCTTGATGGGATTCTTCAGCGCATTAGCTTAGAAGGCACACCAGAGCAGCACCTCGACGAAATATATCTCACGGTACTCCAAAACTCTATACCTCCTACTTATAGAGCACTGGAAAAGGAGAAGGCATATGCAATAAGACGTAAGGTTCTTGGAAGCATTGTTGTTTCGTTATCTCCACTTTCCGCTGCTTCACTAGCAATGGTGCTAAGCGTCCCTGAAAGAGTTGTTACACGAACACTTGAGAAACTGCAAGCTATCCTAGAGGTTCCAAACGACCCGACTCGCCAGCTCCGCCTACACCACCCTTCGTTTCGCGACTTCCTTCTCAACAAAGATCGATGTAGGAATTTCTGGGTAGATGAGAAGGAAGCACAGGGTACATTAGCTACTCGCTGCATAGAGCTGATGTCCAAGACACTCGAGAAAGACATATGCGAATTGCATGCTCCTGGGTATCAAGTCACTCAAGTCGAGAGCAGTCGTCTACAGCAATGCCTTCCGCCCGAAGTACAATACGCATGCCTCTACTGGGTCCAGCATCTACAGAGGAGCGGGTCTCAGGCTTGCAATGGCGATGAAGCACACCGGTTTCTGCAAGAGCATCTACTACACTGGCTTGAGGCGCTTGGGTGGATGGGCAAGACCTCAGAGGGAATTCAAGCAATTTTATCCTTGGAAGAGCTTGTTTCGGTAAGGATTCTCTTTTAATATAATAAGTCACCTAACTAATTGTTACTTAGGCAGGTAAGAGTTCTGAAATACGCTCCTTTGTTAATGATATAAAACGATTTACCCTACATAGCCAGTCAGTGATTGAAAAGGCACCCCTTCAACTATACTGTTCAGCCCTCATCTTTGCCCCAGAGAATAGTATAGTTAAGAGACAATTCAAAAAAGAGATCCTACCATTGATTCAAATGAAGTCAAAAGTGCGACCAGGTTGGAGCGCGACGCTGCAGACGCTCGAGGGCCATTCC